GGTTTTTACACATGCACAACATAGCCAGGTCAGGTGATGTTATTGTAGAGCGACATATTCCAACGGGGCAGGAGGTCAGGGTGGATCACTGGGTCAACAAAATGTCAGACTTTTTATCTTTTCTTTTATCTTTTAACCATGACCACGACTGTTCCCTAACCTTAACCAAGTGGTTATTATTGTAGCCATGACGCTGCAAGTCGGCTAACCTCAATGAAGTAGTAATGTTAACTCAAACTTCGATATTTCTCCAAGTCCTTTCTGTGCCTAAACCCTACCAGACCTTCACCTTACCGTTCATCACATCATAAAACAGATTTATTTTTCAGCAGTGATTTATAACGGATTTTGAAGGCTTTGCAGACAAATGATGTTATCCTGTCAGAAAATGTCACCATGTGTAACTTGAAAATGTATTTTGTTGTGTAATCTGGAGGACTTGTTTGGGATACTGGTGTGCATGTAAACTCACTCCTTTTGTCAAGGTACAGGTACTGGTTTTGGACCCTTCTGTCTTTATGGAAAGCTGATAGTGGGAATGGATGACATGATACAGTGCTGTCCAGGATATTGCCTGACGGTATTCACCCCCATCCCTGAGCTGGTGGAATGATAAGGAATGAAGGACTCAATCTCCAGCCAGTTTAATACAATGCACGACCTGATTCTGTGCTGAGTGATGAATAGAGATTGAGGGTTTAAGTTGCCTTGGGAGATGGTATAATGATAGTGAAAATACTGTGTGTGTTGGCAGCTTTATGCTCCCTGGTAACTACTGCTGCTCAGCATTGTACACTGTAAATACGACCTTAGCTACTGTAGTGCACAAAGCGGAGACAGACAATGCATTTCAATGTGGAGCCAGCCAAGGTCAAAATTTGATGTTCTGAATGCATCAAGCCTTTATGGGGCAGAAGAGGTCACTCAGCTGCCACGCTCATTAAATAACTGGCGGTCTGACAGAGAAAACAAGTTTATTAAAGCCAGCATGAAAGCATATAGGTCCAAGTGGACAGTGAAAAAATTAATAGAATCAGGGTATTTGATGACTCAGGGTAGTGAAAGCTCTTTTAGCATGCTGCTTTATAACTTTAATTATCAGGACTCCCATGGGCCTTGAAAAAACTTGAGGACTGTGGGACTTGGGACTTTGATAAAAAATAAAGTTAAACCATAAATCCTTTTCTTTAAATTGGTGACTATATGGAGTTGTAAAGTGCTTGGTATGACATTGCAAAAATGTTTTTGGCACTAAGCTGCAATGTGTACTGTTGATGAAATGGGAAAAGCAAAACCTTATGGGGTTTTTTTTTACTTTTTATAGGAAAGACCTTTATAGGTTTAGATGTAGTTAAAGATTTACAGGCCCACTCCATTACTGACAGTCCTCTTTCATGTGGCCACAGTAGTAACACATTTAAAGGAATAATCTGCTGTATTTTCATTTTAATGCATTCATCTAGGGCAGGGTGGATGAAATAAATACAGTGATTGTAGTTATTTTTGTCTGATATTAATCATTATATGGCAAATATACTGTATGTAGAACCACTTAAACAGAAAAACAATCAAACTGATGCTCAATGCATAGTAAAATAATGTAGAATTATTGCATTGTGCTGTATTACACCAAACTCCTCACACAACAGTTAAGAGCAGTAATTTAAAGTCGGTAACTAATTATATAAGGGGTTGATTACAATATATTTTTTGGAAAATGAGAACATTACTTGATCAAGTATTCAGTGGATTTTATTAAGTAAAAATACCAAATATTTGCTGATTTCAGCTGCTAAAACATAAGGATTTGCAGCTTTTGTCAGTGTAAATTGAATTGAATTAGAGCTGGAATAATTATCAATTAATCAAGTGTCAATTGTCAGGTAAGTGACAAGTAATTTGATAATTGAGTAATTAGTAAGTAACTCCAAACATTCATTGGTTCCAGCTTCTTAGATGTGAGGATTTGATCTGATTTGATAGTAAACTGAGTATATTTGGGTTTTGGATTCTTAGTCAAATAAAACAAGGAATTTCAATTCACCACTTTAGCTTCTGAGGTATTATAATATTATATTATATATAGTATTTTTAAATTTTGCTTACATTTTTTTGAACACATGATTAATCAATAAACCAAGACTTAAATCTGTAGGTTAATTACTAATGAAAATAATCTTGTAACTCTGAACTGAATGTCTTTGGATTTTGGACAGTCAAAGCGGTTATCTTGGGCTTTGGGAAACTCTAACATTTTTCACCATTTAATCATTAGTTGCAGCTTTACATTGCTGTGCCTTATTAAAAATCTCTGACTGTTAAGTGTACAGTGCTGTTCTCTGTGCACTACACCTCATCACTCCAGATTTTTTAGCCCTGCGTATCACCACAGTGTTTCAACTGAAAGTCATAAACTTTAATACTAAATTGTTGCCCAGATCTAAGTCTATCACCACTTGATATAAAACAGCATTCCACTTATACATTATTGCAAAGAACAAATCTGGTGCACGTTAGATGATCCATTTTATGTTAGAGAAAGTAAAACCCCCGTTTTTACTGGAGTGCATATAGATGGATAAATTATGAACGTGCGCAGCTGAACAGACAAAGAAAAGAGGAGTATCCTCAGAAAATCAAGCTTCATTGAAGCAAAACACGATGACAGAGAGATCCTTGTTCCAACTACAATGAACTGTCTCAAACAATCACAATGACTTCTTAGCACCAAAGATGTCACCAAAATCAAAGGACCATGATCTTGCAGGCGTCTCACTTGTTAATGTCAAACCAGAGTAACCTCCGAACTCACAACTCTGTAACCCTGTACCCTCTGTAGCGCAAAATTGTAATTTCTTGCATGTGATTGAACAAGACTTTGAAAGGCATTGAAACGTCCTTGAATATTATGTCTGAACAAGTGTGGGAAACCTGATAACATTCCACAGAGGGTCAAAGCTGGTTGAGCCGGCCGGCTGGCTCCGACACTACCACTGGCTCTGCGATTAAGCCACGGGAGCCATTTTGGGGCTGATTATTCATGGTGCTACTGTACTGATGTTCCACTACACTGAATTCTCTCATTAGGTCACCCGGCTCTAAAGGCCATTAAATTTTCAGTCAGCATGAATAAGTCAGGGAGTTCTGCCTCTGATCATGCAGTGCAAAGAGTCCCCAAACTCATCATAGGTACTCTGCATAAAAAAAAACAAAACAAAAAAAACAAAACAAAAAGGAGCGCAGGGGTAACATTTACTCAATTAAATATGTGAGAAGGGCAGGGGTTGGCAGCAGGGTAGTTTTTTTAGATTTAAAGCCTAGCATGTGGTGCCAGACAGCATTTCCAGAAGTATCGATTAGAATTTTGCTGTGGGTAAATGACTCCCAATGGGATCTCCTTGGTAACTGGAGCGGTGCCAAGCCACTGAATGTCTAACTGACTTAATGCAGATATAAATCGCCGTTCCAATCAAGGCCGTTTTATTTGTGGGCTTGAGTGGGGCAATACGTCACCCACGGTACTGCACGTTTCCGTCAATAAAATCCTGTCAAAACTGTTAAACGCATGCTGCGTTGATGACATATGATTTATAATGTTTCCTTCCAGGGAAGAGTATTTGTTGCACAAATGCAGTGAACAGGTAGTTGAAAACTGTTGGCATTTTGGGTCACTGACTTGCCACAATTAATCATGGTTGTTCTGTATTGCCTGTGAGCATTTATTATGCTTTTCAGATCTGGACTTCCAATGTGAAAAGGCACGAGCAATTAGCATTAATTAAAAATGAAGACCTATTAAAGCTGCGACATTAACTAATAGCTTAAAAGGATTACCCTTCACTGCTTTTGAACAGATTGTTTAAACTTGTATGACAACGACTCATTTACAAAGAGAATAGTGTGCGGAATGGAGCTCCTAATGCAATCAGCTAAAGGATTAAATGAACCAGGCACCAGCAGGGTTGCAGGCGAGATATTTCCAGAGCTGTCTGTGCAACAGAAATTTTTTTTTATTGGTGTTTGCTGGTGGCCAGAAAATGACCAGGGAAAACAAAGACGAATGGAGTCATTGACTTCAAATACGACCCCTTGAAAGCACAGCCAGAGCGGTATCCATCGCCATCTATTATATTCATGAGTGTGACCTGCGGGGGGTGGGAAGAGGCTGGAGGGGGAGGTGATAGGCGCCCACCTGCTCCACTCAGCCTCTAAGACACTTGCTGCCAGGAGATCAAACAGGCCTCCTCGCTCCCCTCTGTTCTCCTCCTCTCTCCCCGGCACAAGTCCCATATAGGAGGCGACTGACCCACTTTTCCTCCCTCCCTGTGCTATTACCTGGAGAAAATGGAGTGATGTGGTGGGTGGGTGGGTGGGTGGGTGGGTTTGTGGGGCTGAACAAAAGCTTCTCATCTTCACTTACTGTACAGAGATGAAGGCGTAACTAGGACTCGAAAGATAGCATGTCATTTCTTGTCAGATACTATTGCATGTGAGATTGTTTCTCTAATGGTGTGTCTTGACCTAGTCTATGTTTCGCTTCTGTGCTGCTGCAGTTGATGTTAAGCGAGCTCGCTCAGATCCAGTGCATTAACAGGAGAGATCTCATTGGGTTGGCAGTGTTGATTTGAAATCAACTAGACATGAGACAAATTTGCCAAACAAATGGATAATTTGCCAAACACTGCAGGACCAAATGGAAGCGGTGATACTGCATAAATTCCATTGCACTGCTGTAAATTGTTTACAGTCCTCGGGGCTTTATGGAAGGTAGACCCATCGCTCATTGTTTTCACCGGATTGATATTGATTAACTCTGACAGCTAGCATCATGATACTTAGCGGTAGTGACCATTTTCTCTTTCGACCTCCACTGACTCTCCCTCCGTTGGCTCTTTTTGTCAGTCCTCTTTCCTCCTTCCTTTTCTTCCTCCCTTTACTACCCTCATAACATACGCTACATTTTTTATGTCCTTTTCAGTCTTGGTCTTCTTCCCTTGCAGGCCTCACATGGTGACAGAGTACATGGGCATCAGGAATGAGAGTTTTATGAAGATTGCTGCAGTGGGGACGTGGATGGGAGACTTTGTCACTGCTTGGATGGTGAGATTCCAACTCTTATGTAGCCTCAACATTAGAGAAGTTTGCATTTATGAAGGGAGAGATTTCATTTTATATCACAGAAGTCAGACATTTGAATTTTAGTCCTGCATTATTAAAAACACGTTAACATAAAATAATACTTTTAGCCGTGCTGGCAGCACAGTGTGATAACTTGCAGATATTTCTGTTCCAAGGATAAAAGTGAGTGTTTTTTTTTTTTTCAAAGTTAACACAAAATATCTCAAGTGGCTGCAGTTAATGCCCATCAAGATGCCACGTTACAAATTTATATATAATATACTAATTATACCAACATATACCAACATACTAAATGGATTTTTTTGTTAAATGTTGTCTTAACGCAACATGCAGTGTGTGTTAAATGTGCATGTGTAAGACTGATGACTCTTTTACTGCAAACCAAATTGACCTACAGGTACAAATAAAGTTACCTACCTACAGCTGTGCAAGAACTTCGAACTGTGAAAATAAACTAGAGTCTAAAATTAGCAAAACCTCGATTCAAATCGACAAATATCTGATTAAAGAATGTGCACAAGTTCAGTAGTGTTACCAGAAAAATATGTTGCTAAGTTTCAGTAGGTGACAGTTTTCAATACTGGTGAGGGTTTGATACCTAGCCCTAGCTTAAAGTTAACATGTTAACCTGTCAAACGCTTGCATGCTAACATGCTAAATGTTTAATGCTTAACATCAGCGTGTTAACATTCAGTGACAATTAGTTGTAGTAGTTAGAAGGTAGCTGTAGGTATGGTAAATGCCATGAAACTAATGTTACATTAGCAGCCTTAGCGGTAGACATGTCATATTGTATTTACCATAATTACCAGTGTGGAAATAACATTCACATAAACATCCAAATCATAGTTAGAAATTTTTGTAAGGGCTCTTATTTGAGGGTTGGTGTTTAATAATATTGGAAGTGACTTACATTAGTTCTGTCCATGCACAGAATTTAACCCTCACATGGCTAACTGCAGCCATCTTGAGTTGTGCGATGAGATGGCGCTTACATAGCATAAACATGGAATTCTTTCCAATCACTACTATTCATCCCATGTGATGTGAACGTGGCATTAGGCTGATGAAAGTAAAGCTTGTCTGACAATGCAGAGCCAAGCTTCTAAACTGTGGATATCCCTTTACGCACCCTTTTGAATTAGCTGGTCAGCAATAGCAGCTTTCTGGCCTAACCTGAAATTCTTTACCCACTGGTGGTAAAGAAAGTATAGCATCTATACAGCCACAGTTTTCTTTCTCGATTGTAATAAGCCTCGCAGTGCTGCAAGATGTGGACGTGTTACTCTAATATACTTATTAATACACTATATTCAAATCATATTTATGACCATATAAAATCAAGGTGAACGCGGTTGAAGCCATTCTTCACTCACTCATCTAATTTCTAGGTCAGGTGTATCCCCTCAGCCATTACAAGGCACACAGTTAGAGCCCTCTACACAAATCCAATTCAATCTGCTACCAAATCCTTAGAGTAACATGCGCCTGTGATCTAAGGAGGGTCAGAGGAAACAATGGATGCACAGGGAGGGACAGAGTATATTGGAGGAGAAACCTACCTCTGTTCATTTGTCAACATAAAGCGAGGAGGAGAGCTCCAGCGGGAGTGGACTACCTGTGGTGGGAGGAGTGGGGCACTGACACCGGCATGCACACAGCTGAGACAACTTGACAAGCTCCCTCACCAGTCACATTAGTATTCTACAGTACATACTGCAGAGAAAGAGAGAGGGTGGAAGGAGAGACAGGAGGAGTAAGAAACAGAGGTGAAGGCGAAAAGGAAATGGGCAAGTCTGTTTGGGGGGGGTTGCAAGTGAGAAGGTGAATCAGGGAGACAGAAATGTGTGTGTGTGTGTGTGTGTGTGTGTGTGTGTGTGTGTGTGTGTGTGTGTGTGTTTGGCCCTGAGTTTTTCTGTTGGGTTTTTTCTTATGAGAGAAAGTTAGACCATGGCAAAGTGCTGATTCCAGGAATTACTCGCTAGGTTTTTTTTTTTTACATTCGATTAATTCAACAAGGCACTTTGAAGATGACCTCTATGTCTCCTATGCATAGCAGATTTCCATTGTGTCTTCACCAGATGAGTGGACAGGAAGCGTCTGTTTTTGCAGTGCTGTAGCACCAGAAACATCCCATAGATTGCCTGATTCACATTCTTTTTCCAACATGAGCGAGCTACAGTCTCTGCAGTGAGGCGCTTTATTGACAAATTGACCTTGCCTCTGCAGTCGCTCCACACAAAGAATATAGAGGGAATTTTTATATTTGGGCAAAAGAAAAAAAAAAGCTCTTTGATACATCTCTGAATCCATAGAAGAAAATCTACTTGTGAATTCTCTTAATGACATTAAAGTTGACAGTGTAAAAACATTATCGCTAACTGAGAAAAGAAGTGGAAAGACGGGCACGACCACAACATTAATAATGAAACAAGCAAATAATTATAGATGGTAATCACAGTCTCATTACTATTTAATCACAGAAGAAGTGTTATTCAATGTAGTTATTCAAGGTTTAAATTTAAATAGCCATATAGCTATATTTCTAATGTGTGTTTACAACTCTGCATCATTTAGCATTATTTATTATTTAGCATTTGTAATTAAAAATGCATATAATTAAAATGTATTGGTTTTTATATACTTAACACTGTATCTAAAAACCTGTTAATGATTTGTTGTTTCTTTTTTGGTTCACATGTGATTATATGGCCAAAAGTATGTGGACATGCAAACGCACACCCATATCTGGTTGTTGAAGATCTCATTCCAAAACCTTTGGGCATTATTGTGCTGTTATGACAGCCTCCCTTCTGCTGGGAAATGCTTTCTACAAGGTTTTTGGGACCTGGCTGCAGGGATTTACTCCCATTCAGTCACTAGAGCATTAGTGTGGTCAGGCGCTGATGTTCGGAGATGTGACCTGGCTCACGGTCAGCATGCCAGTTCATCCTAAAGGTGGTGGATAAGGTTTTACTGTGTTACTTTTGAACAGAGCTCAAGTAACTGTTTTTCCTGTTTCCAGTATGAATGCTTAGCTACAATAAACTGTTTTATAGATGAATCTCCTCTACATCCTTTCATTTCTGAAGGTGACAGATATGATGCTCCAGGATCAGCACTACCCAGACTGGGGCAAAGCAGCCAGGAGATTCTGGAAACAAGGCAACAACCGGATTGTTCTCTTCTGGTACATTGTCTCCTTCTCTGACTACATGTGCATGACAAGACTTACTACTTACTAGCTCACTAAATGTGTTATATATTCCTACGAGGCTGTGTGTGCATGCATATGTGTGTGATATGTGTTCTCTCCAGCCCGTTGCAGGGTAACACGCAGTCAATAGCCGTGTTAATCTTCCCTCACTCAGTGTCAGCACCTTTAATTAGAAGAACAGGGTGAAAATCAATGGACACAGCAAGGTCGCGGGGCGAACCGTAGCCCTGCATTTTCCTTTTCGCACTACAAGCTGTGACCCTTAAATAACTGCTAAACAAATGCTGCAAAGCATGTCTGATATGCCCATTATTAGAAAGCCAAGTAGAATTGTTCCCTGTTCAGATGTAATACAGCACCAGTGCACGGTCCCAGCGGTGTTCTTTCACCAGTGGCTCAGTGCTGTCAGTCAAATACGACATGCGAACGCCTATGCCAGTGGTTCATTTTAGGGTCACAGTGAGAAGTAAAAGGACGTGTGAGGAAGAGGATACGGTTGAAACAGTTTGACATCTGTTTGATATGTACACAGAGAGCTCGCGACACAAGACATCTCACACTTCAAAATTGGCTGCAGTGTTTAACATTTCCATTCGCAGAATTGATTCACCTGCGATTAGAATGCAAGCAGACAAACTGTTCTGTGACTTTTTCTGCAGCCCTTCATTTTATTGATGGATGCCCCAACTCGCTCCGTCACGATCAATGCCGGATTTGACGAGCTATCATTTGGAATTCAGAGCTTGAAATATGATTGACAAATGTGTCACTGGATATATCTTGCCAATATGCGTTGAAGGGTTTGTGGCAGTTAATAAAGGACAGCGCCAAAAGTCGGGCTTTGCTACGAAAAAGAATCCTACTGTGGAATAATAAAAAACCCTCAAAATTTTCTCTCCCTAACAGCTGAAGTGGTTTAAGAGCTGGCACGCACTATCTGCAATGCAGCCGGCCGCTGTGTGGTGTGAGAATGCACACACCACCACAGTAATCACTGTGTGACATTGAGACAAAACACACAGCAGAGAATAACACTAGCCTTCACCAGCGTGCCTGTAGTGAGAAGGCTGAGAAACGTTCTAGTAAACAGTGAATGCAGAATTACTGCAATGTGACATGAACAAAAATCACACAGGGTGAAAGAATGCAGGGGGGAAAAAAAAACCCCACAACAATCAAAATGAAATTTGAATGAAATATTGAAGCTTGTGTTAAATATGTAAATCAATATGTATGCAGTAGCGCTTTTGAATTGCATTGTCTCTGCATCCACGAACAGACAAACACGCAGACACAGTTTTCCTCTGTACACATTCGTCATCCTGGAAGCTTTATCTGCTGCTATTTTTCAAATCCAGGTAAAATTGTTGTTCAATACTTTGTAGAGTCTATGAAAAGAGAAAGTGAATAGTGCTTGATTTATCTCCTCGTGTAATTGACATTGGGGGGTTGTTTGTCTTCCGAGATATACAATACCAACTGTGCGCCTCATCTAGATTGGAAGTTTTGAAATTATAAATGTGTTTTTCTCAAGGTCTTGACCTTTTTAATGCACATCGTTCATAGATTTATCTCCTCTCCTTCCTTTTCTTTCATTCCTTTTCCTTCCTATCCTCTCCTTTTTTCTTCTCTCCTTCCCTTCCTTTCTCTCTCCTCTCCTTGCCTCTCTTCTCTTCGCCATTCCTTTTTTCTTTCCTACTGTCCTTCATCTGTCTTTTGTTTTTCTTCCCTTTTTCTCTCCGCTCCTCTTTTTCATCCCTTCCTTTTTGTTGTCCCCTCACCTTGTCTCTCCCCTTTCCTTCTTTAATTCCTCTCCTTTTTTTTCTTCATCCTGTCCTCTACTCTGTTTCATTTTCCTTTCCTTCCTCTCATGTCGTTCTTTTCCCTCTCCTCTCCTCTCCTCTCCTCTCCTCTCCTCTCCTCTCACAGGACAGTGCTCATCTCTCTGACGTCAGTGGTGGTTCTGGTCATCAGTACCGACTGGATCAGCTGGGACAACCTGAACCGTGGCTTCCTGCCCAGCGATGAGGTCTCCAGAGCTTTCCTGGCCTCCTTCATCTTGGTCTTCGACCTTCTCATTGTCATGCAGGTATACCGCTCCCCTGTGGCCAATTAAAAAAAAACAAAAAAAAAACACGGAGCTGGGACGTCTCTTGGCTTAGTCTCCTACCCATCTTGCCAGTTCCTCCTCCTTCTCCCCTCCCCCCACATTCACCAATGGGGCACTGCGGCACAGAGCAGCGAGAGGGATGTTTGATCAGTCTCAGCTGGCATGGACACAAACGCACGCACATATTCACTAGCACATATAGAGATATACAAACTGTTGTTTACTCCTTTACATCTCCTCACTTTCAGTCCCTCCATCCCTCTTTCCCAGACCTCAGCCATGAACTCACCCTTTCCTCCCGCACTCCCTTGTGAGCCAAGTTTATTTTCTTTAATGATGAGTCACAAGATTGGAGTTTTTCTCAGTCCCCCACCCCCCCACCCCTCCTTCTCTTTTTTCCCACCCAATGTTCTCACTCCCACAGGAGATTGTACATCAATAAAGCCTGTGTCAGTGGCTCATGAATATGTAAATGTGTTTGTCTGGGCAAAAAAACACAGAACTGTGTATTGAGGAGAAAAAGGGTGGGAAAAAGCGATTTTTTTTAATTTTTTTTTCATGCCCGCTAGCCAGGAGCCAGAACCGCAGGCCAATCATGTATGTGGTTTGACTGCAAGCCTAATTCAACACGGCTCAGCTCCTCCAACTGCTTAATGAACATATTTCACTTGGCCTTGTTGGTGGGTATTAGTGGACTCGTTGCAAGACTAATATTTGGTATCCCCCAAATATAAGTTTCTACTCTGTTGATTATGCTAATTACTCAGAGCCTGCAATTGCATGGGAGAACATCTTCTAGTGTTACAAATACACCACTCCACAGAAACCTGGCAAGAACACCATTGTAATTCCTATGGTAATATGTACTATAGAACAACTGTATCACTAAAAGTGATTCCTCGACTCACTTATTGAAACGATTCATTACTTTAAGGAGGGCTCCTTGCTGCTCTTGGCAGTAATTACTTCACACTGTGGTGTTTCTCTCATTCATTTACCCAATTATTGTGATTATGCAGATATATAGAAAAGGCTCAGCCCCACAGTATACAAGCTTTTACCCACCAGAGATGATGGTGTCTTGCTGAGGCCAGCTTTTCCAGCTTCCCGACCGTATCACCTCCTGTTTCCAGCCACAGACATGATGTAACATGAAGTGCCTATTTTGACATCTCCGTTTGACTCCCCCGAGCCACTCTGGACACGCGACTCCCTCTCTCCCTTTAACTCGGCGGTATATATCATTCCCCACTCGCATAGATTTGTTTATGACGGGCCCTTCTCATTTTCTGCGCAGTGTACAGCAAGCACATTTACTACAGTTATTTATGAGTCAAGTTGGCTCACACCCGTGAAAAGGGCCCATCCACTGGCGGGGCGGCCGTCACTGCGTTCCACCAGTCAATAAAAATTCCACCACCACCGCCCTCCCAACAGCTTCATTCACCTCCATCTTGGAGCACAGGGTGCCATAGTTAATCTCTTACCTCCTTGAGAAAAGATGGATGTTGTTGTTCTCAAACTAATTAATGCCCCAGTTAATGACCTGTCTGGATTTGCCTCCAAGCTGGGTCTTACTTTCTTTCTTTTTTTTTTTAATACTTATGTGTATAGTTGTACTATTTCTGTCCTCTGTGTATATGTATATCCATATTCACATATGTAGATAATTCGCTGATACACTCTGCCAGTTTACTCTTCCTATATACATTACAGAGACTCATTATTTTGTGGGAGGGAGGCCTGGCTTAAATGCCATGCCTGTTAGTGCTATAGCAACACATACTGCAGCTATGGAAGAGGAGAGGAAGACTTAATTAATATCCAGGGGGCCATCACCAAGCTGTTATGCTCTTCATAGATATTGGCATGGGAGACTGAATCACATGAGGATATAGTGAAAGCAGACATGGGGTAATCTCATGCAGCAAGACACTTTGTGCAAATAACAGGGACAGGAAAGGGGGAATGTAATCTGAAAAAACTGGAATTATGCGTCTTGGTTTTTTTTTTCACTAATAGAGATGACAAAAACTAATTTGTGAGCTTATTAAATCGGCCCAGTAGAAAGAAAGAATTTAAAATTTATTTCAATTTTCCTCTCCCCATCAGTCTGTGTGTGATTTTCATCCGTGTTCACCATTTATTTACAGGCTTTCATACTGCAAAGTAAACAGTTACAGTTACATAAGTTAAAGGACATAAAAATATAAGTAGTAGCTAAGAAAAAAGTAAACTATATTTTTTACTGTAAAACAAAGCAACTACGGCATTTATGTACAATAATAGACTTTTTTAATGAAGGAACCATTTCCAGTACCAGATATCGCAAAGTTACCCCGTAATATATTTACATTAATTATAGATTTTTGGGGAAAAAATGTATGAATTGTAATTGAAAATACATGAATTGTTACCTTAAATTGGAGGCTGTAGTTTTAAAGCTTACAGAACATTTTTGATTTCCTGTATCCTGAAAACAACCAGGTCATGTACAGTATTTCCAAACTTTGGAGATTTCTTTCGGATAAACTGAATGATTAACCGTCCCTCTCAAACTTCAACAAGTAACAAAAAAAAATACATTTTCACAAAGCTGTAAGAATGAAAAGTTGACATTTTGAAGATACATGGTTTTCACAGGACAGAGATGTTTTGAGAAAGTCTCTAAATTTTCTTGCCACGTGTCCACTACCTCACTGATAATAGTGCATGCTTTAGCTGACAGCCACTGGCCACCAAATATAACCACATAATAGCAAAAAAAAAAAAAGCTAAGTGACACCACAGGGCTTCACAGCTTCTAAATGTCAGTTTGGGGTGCCTGTTGATGTGTTTTGACGTGTTGAAATCCCAGTGCACATTGGTACACTCCACAAGCCTGTAAACACAAAGTGTAGCGTGGAGTCCTCAGCGGCCAGCACCATGTTTGACCTCCAGTCAGTGTATGAAGAGACTCCACAGAGACCTAATAACAGCTAATACGAGAGAGTTCAGTGAAGTGTTGGACATCCAATAAAGCACGACGCATGGCTGACATTGCTCATGTCGGTGCGTTTATTTAAATGTGTTCATTTTTCTTCAGCTCAGGCTACAATATTACAGTCGCAAGCTAAATGTGTTTTTTTTTTTTGTTTGTTTGTTTTCCAGGACTGGGAGTTCCCTCACTTCATGGGTGACCTGGATATGAATCTACCAGGAATGTCAACAACACACGTGAAGGTCAAGCTTCCTGTCTGCAAGCGTGTCTTTAAAGAGGAGTACCACATTCATATCACAGGTACGGCTGCTGCACACACGGAGCAGGGTCGTCTCATTGTTTCAAGAGGAAGTGCATCGAGCTTTCCCAAACAGTTCTCAACACCTATACTCGTGAGCTGATTAAGTAGCAGAAAGAAATCAAAATTTCCACGCAGGAGACGTAACTCTGGCCTATTTCTGAATTGAAGTGGTGAATACCAAACACACGGTTGCTGCTCTAGTTCTCCAGTTCCCTCTGTTGGGGAACAGTTTGATGGTGATAAACCACAGCAACCATTTATGATACATGTGCAGCTGAAGTGGCACCTTTTTATATACAGTCTATGTGTGGCACACAGGTGCCTCCACCACTGCAACTTTTTTTTTTTTTTTTTTTTTTCTGCCTGCTCCTCACATTCCTCCCTGTTGTGGCGAGACGTGCCTCTCATCATCTTTCACAACTCTGTGTCTTAATGTTCTCGGCGAGCGACTGTATTTCCCATTTAAAACCGTCCTCCCAGGTTCTCCATTTTGTTCCGCCGCGTGCACACGGCGACTCACAGCCATCAAGAGAAGGCAAAACCAATGTTCCTGTGCTAAATGTTAAGCTGTTCAAACGCTCAGTGATTCGGGAAAGGTCGTTAACTGTAATGCATTGCATATCCATTCGGCATTATGGAAATGGCTCCGGCGCGACGTGATTGGTTTAACTAAAAGCTTATTAACAACATATCTCTGGGAGAGGAAGGGAGAGGTGTCACGTATACCCGCGGAGACATCTGCCTGCTATCAGTCAACCTGGGGAGATGGCTGTCTCATGGTAATGTAGTGATCTCGTTAGAAGATACTGTAGAGGAAGTAGCACCTGTAAATGGATCTATCTGTCTCGGTGCGTGAGCTATATGGAAAGAGAGAGGTACTCCTGATAAATGAATCTGACAGCATATCTGTCTGTCTGACTCTGCCCTCTAAATCTTGTTTGGAGTAGGCTCGTATTGTACATCAATCTGCCTGTCTGTTAAATTACCTGTACAGTTCGTGCATGTTTATTCCTTGCTTATCTGTCAGAGATGGCTCAGATTCTAATCTAATAGAAGTCACATGTCTTGTTACAGGTAAGTGGTTCAACTATGGAATCATCTTCCTTGTGCTGATTTTGGACCTTAACATGTGGAAGAACCAGATCTTCTACAAGCCCTACGAGTACGGTCAGTATGTGGGGCCTGGGGAGAAGATCTTCACGGTGGAGGAGCCAGAAACACTCAGGAACTTCAACCACAGCACGCTCACGTACGAGTGGCGCTCCACCAACATCGATCCCAGCACCAACCTGAGCTACGTGGAGAGGGACATGTTCCTCCACAGCCGCTACATCGGAGCCAGCCTCGACGTCAAGTGCCTGGCCTTCATCCCGAGCCTGGCGGCGTTCGTCCTCTTCGGGTTCTTCATCTGGCTGTTCGGGCGATTTCAGGACAGTGAGACCTTCACGGAAAACCAAGACAAAACGTACGAGAGGATAAAGAGGAAGTCGCCGTCGGAGTACAGCAAGGACATGGGTGTGACGCCGGAGGAAACGCACGTGACCGTGAGTGACGGTCTGAAACGATCGGGAACGCCCATGCTGCTCTCCGTGGACGGGCCAAATTTCGGAGCGACGCCCTCCACGAACTCGACTATTTCCATGGAAACCCAAGAGACGCACCCGAGCATTGTGATTGACAGTGCAGCGCAGGAGGAACCTGCAGTCTCTTTTGATGTCCACAAACTCTCTCCGTGACCTTATGAACTTCTGAGACTTTGAACTACATAACTGCGGACTGGTTGAGGTTGAGAGTTCGTCAATATGCCGAATTGTTGCTTTTCTTCGGATGACATCAAGCTGCAACAGAAAGTTGTTTGAAGCAACTTGTCATGAGATTCATGAGAAGGACAAAGTGATACTCACCAAGCTAATGCAATGGCTATTGCAGTTGTATTGATATATTTTTCTAAACCAACCTTTGTAAGAGGCACTGATTCCAATAACAAACATGTTTTACAACAGAATGCAAACACTTAATGGTGCTCGCTCCAATTTTTTGCATTTTCATAACTCAATTTTGTCATGGTAAACTATTTTGGTGCCTACATGAGAGGAGTATTTCTACAGCTGTGACACTGCAGTATCACACCAGTGTCACAGCTACAGTAGTGCCTTGATATTTCTTATGTTGAGATACAGACAGAAACACATTCTGACAGTCTATGCTACTATAGGCAACACAATGGAAGCTGTCTTAGTTATGGTCTGCTATATTAATGTTTTATATATGCTTTCATATCATACTGTACGGACAATTGTTACCTCATTTGATCGTCAGACTTTATCATATTAATTTATGCTTGTGTGACGTCTCTCTTACTCCATTTTTAAATGTGTCACTCTTGTTGAAATGATATGATTATGAACATCAATATATGTTGATGACCTGCTCATATCCCCTCACTTGATATTAGTGGCAGAGATAATAAATGCAATCAGCAGAGATCAAATAGCAAACCAATGAGCCACCTCATGATTACTTATGTGGCTGCCGCACCTCCACTGAATACCAACAGAGTCAAAAAGGTGGTTTTGCCCTTGGCATAAACATGCCATTGAAGTGCAGGGGAGGCTCCTGCTCCAAAGCTCAGGGCTTCTTTATGTCTAGATAAACCTTGAAAGTTTTAGAAGCAGTTTGTGGTATCTTGAGGTGCTGATGTGAAGAAGTGATCACCGCCGACACGTCTTTGCTTGTAATTCAAAAGAAGTTTATTAACAAGAAAGAAACAGTGTCTAAAATGCCGAATCCTGGAGTATCTCTGCCAATGTGAGAACCCTCTTCTACTGTCTCACAAACCCCTCTATTTATCTGTCTCATCCCACCTTTGGGATGAGCCTTTCTTTTAATAGAAGGGCCTTCACTCAATTGTCGACCATATCTGGTCAATAACCTCTGATCTCTAACCTCTTAACCTTCTGGTCCAGAAAAAGGACCCACACATCCTGAGTGTCTCATTTAGTAGGAGACAGAAATCCTGAAGAGTAAGCAAATTTACCCCTAATACACATTCCTTAACCTTAACTTATAATATGTAATTTCAAAGAAACCTTTAATAAAACTTTAATTGACAAAGACTTTAACTTATTAATAAACTTACATAAAGGAAGGATCTATAACAATTTAAACTGTTTAAGAAGGAAGGAATGAAGTGGATAATACACTACAAGTTTTACAGTCATGGTAATTGCATGAAAATTATTCATTTGAAACATTATCCTACTGTAAAGAACAAAAAGAATTATCTGATTTCAAACACTGAAAATGAAACCTGCAGCATTTAACTTTACACTCGCTTTGAAAGTGTTCACTGTCTTTTTACAGATTTTCGTTTGGTGTGCAGTGTCTTTAAAATACAAGTATTTTGGTCCAAAAAAGTGTCCCAGTTGATTTTTTTTTTCTGTAAAGTGCAAGTACCAACTAATTTATTACTACATTACTAACTTTTTTCATGTAAGTTTATCATGTATAAAGGAGTACTTTGCATATATTAGTAACCAAAGATGCCAAATTATTCAGTATTTTCAACAAATTATGCTGCATAAGAAAATAGTCAAATTTAAAAGAGATATATTCATGATGGTCAGAGTGGAATGATATTATGTGCTCTTGCATCACTCAGTATTAAAATACACTGTAATGTATCATAATGTCTTTTGGAAATTATTTCCCTAGAAAGAGGAAACGGCCTCCCCAGCTCCCTGACATCCCAGTCCTGAAAAAACCTCTTGTTAAGCATTATGTGCTTTCATAGTAACATAAGTTTTCCGACAAAAGATACAGCAGCAGTACAAGAAAGTGAAGCCACCAGAGTAGTACTACAGACTTTTGCAGTGCTTAGGTATAATCAGTTAATAAAAAGATGGGTTTTTAAAAGATATTTTAAATCAGCTAATTTCATTCAGGCATTTATATACTCCAATAATAATGATGGCGATCAAAAGATTATTTAATTTGCCTGTGCCTAATGTCCTTATCCTGTCCTCAAATGATCGAAATGGAATTTCAACATTAAGTCAAATAATTTAAACGTGACATTTTTGGTACTCTATTTTCTTATGTAGTCATCTCATAATTGATTTGTTCTTGTTCTGCTTTAATATTTGCAGTTTTCATTTAATGATGATTTTAATTTAAAGACAACTCCAAAATTTTAAAATGTGTAAACAGTGAGCCACCTAATCCAAAGTAGCAACAGACAGAGCTCTGATCAGCCGGCTAATATTTATTCAGGCCAGTCAGAGCTCCTGCTGCTGCTGCTGCCGCTGCTGCTGCTGATGCTGCTGATGCTGCTCTTTGGGTCTCATCTCATTTAATTGTTCAGTGAGACACAGCTTAGATGTCTTTAAATGAATGAGATGTGTCTTTAAATTGACGCAAACACAAAATGAAAACTATAAATGTTACAAAGATAGAATAAGCAAATAGATAACTATAAACAGCTTTTACATGTATTAATTTATTAATTGATTCTAGTTAAACACTGTTAAACTCTATAATTATTCTGGTGGCACACTCCAGACTCCGTAGTCTAATGCTGTGTGTGTGTGTGTGTGTGTGTGGTGTCTGGTGTGTGTGTGTATGTGTGTGTATGTGTGTGTGTGTGTGTGTATGTGTGTGTGTGTTTGTGTGTGTGCGCGCCCATTGTGCGGGGAGAGGAGTCCATGTAAAGGTGTTTTATACTTAATAGTGCATGTTGAGTGTCTGTGTGTGTGTGTGTGTGCATATGTGCACTGGAGGCTTGTGAAGTGTTTACTACACTTGTTTTTGACAAAGGCCATTCAGTGAAGAGGTCATTTTATTTAGCATAATTGGTTTCCAGCTCTCGGCTCTGTAATTATCCTTTTCTTCGTTACAGCTCTGTGAAGACATTAGATATTAGTGTTTCACCAAAGGGCAGAACCTCTTTGGACTTGAAGGGGTCCAGTATGTTTGTGATGTATTGTGTTGAAGTTAAAAGCGAGGCTTTCCCCTTTGTTGCTCATACTATTTTCATTGTGTGGCAAAACTGCCACTTCCTTCAGTTCCTGTGTTCTTCCTTTTTATTTTATTTTTTTCTACAGCAGAGGAAACCTCCTTCCAGTCTCTGCTCACTGTACTGAACGTCTGTTGAACTTTGTTTTACCAATAAATGAATACATTTGTTATATACTCTGATTGGTTGCAAATCTCGTTATGTAATTCCCAGTGAGGAAAGTTCTACTTAACGTTTTTCTATATGCTTGGGAAATGGTTGCCAGGCAACAGCTAAGGTCAAGTTTCTTGCAGCTGCTGACCCAATTAATATGGGCGATAGGAGAAATAATGATACTATCTTCACAAGGACACTTGAATACGTAGCCTGCATACACATGAAGGCCTGCTCAGATTAGTATGAGTCCTGCTCGGGGCCAATCCGCTGTTTGATTTATGCCAGTGGGAAACAATTTGAATTTGTGATGTGTTTTGATCACCAGTGGGATTTGTTTACAGAATATGTATACGTGTGAATGAGTTATAGATTGGATCGAAAAGATCTGAGGAAGAAAAACTGGACTTATTACGCACGGAATTGGTTTACGGCGGTGGCTCCCAGTCGGAGGCTGGGACTCTGCCAAGGGGACGCAAGATAAATCTGAGGGGTAAATCTGAGATTATTAATGGGATAGGAAAGAAGGAAAAATGTCCGCTACTGCAAAAACATTTGGTGATTTCTTCCAATCTTTTTCAAATTTTCCCCTGTTACCCAAAGTAGCAGTGTAGCTCAAGTGATGGCAATGTTGGTTGGTGAGTCCAACCCTTTGGTCCAGACTGAAATGACTCAACAATTAAATAGTTTGCCATGAAAGTTTGTACGTTCATTTCCCACAGAGGATGGTCCCCTGACTTTTCCTCTTGCCCCGCCATGAGATTTACATTTGAGGTCTTGAGTGAAATGAAGCACAAAGAAAGTTGTTTTACATTGTTTTTATGTACATGGGGAGTTTGTGGGCTGCCTTTACACAAGTTTGTAGCTTAATCACTGTTCATTTCATTCATAAATTTGATCAATTCATCAATTTTTCAACTGGCTGGTACATAATTGGACAACTCAAGACCAAATCTACCAATCTAAAATAAGATGGTGAACATGGTAAATACACTAAACATAAGTGTGAGCATATTCGCATGGTAAAACTACTCACACCTCATGTTGAGAGGTTGAAACCCAGAAGAGTGGGAAGCGGTGGTTTAAGGGAATACACTCATCTTGGATCGAGCAGCAGTTAAATGGACAAACCATGTGACCATGATACCACAGGTCTAATCTCTGCAGCAGTCTGCCACCAGGAGCCATGTATCCTAAAGAGTTAGTGCATTCACAAAACTGAGCCTTGCCTCACCACTTGCTGTAACCTGTCAGGTCAGTGTTATTTCTATAGCACCAAATCATCACAGAGGTTATCTCAGGGCCCTTTTCATAAAGAGCAAGTCTAGACTGTATGCTTTACAATATTAAAAGCGCCCCCCCCCCCCCCCAATAGTCCCCTCTGTCAGCTGGTCCTGAGACTCACTGATCAAATAAGACCCAGTACTGTTCAGCCTCACACACTGCTTTCCAACCACTAATCAGACTAAACCAAATTATTCAATTAACAAAAGATGGCTGTCTGGAACATTGGACGAATCAAACCAACACTCACAACAAACTTAATTGCTATCTGGCCCTAAACCATGAATGAATATAAATTGGCAGATTGTCTGTCAGAGACACAAAGCAGAGACAGATCCTGACCACATACACACTCGGTAACCACAGTCTGACCGCAGAGAAAGGACGACACAAGAATGCCTTTCCTCTTTAAATGTGACAAATATAATACTATCAGAGTGGAATACTTTGATTTGATTTATTGATCTCAAACTTCGAAGGTGGATGAAAGTGAAAAGCAACAGATTCTGCTAGGAGAGGGACACGCAGTAAACTTAGCTGCACAATATGTGACTGCATGTGAGCATTTGTATTTGCTGGTTTTTGTTGGGGTTTTTTTTTTTTAATCATTTTCTTGTTCCTTATATTTATTTATTCTATTTTACTTAATGAAATATATTATTTTTTTCATCTCATTCTGGGAGTGTAGTGCTCTAGTGGGGTAATAGGGCACTATTCGTTCTTTAAGATACAATGGTGCCTGACCATTAAGGGCTTCACAGGTGAGGAGGAGGATTTTAAATTCTATTCTGGATTTTACATGGAGCCTGTGCAATGAAGCTAACATATAAGAAATGTAATCTCTTCTCCTAGTTCTTGTCAGAACTCGCGCTGCAACATTTTACATCAGCTGGAGAGTCTTTAGAGACTTGTAAGGGCAGCCTGATAATAAGCAATTACAATAATCCAGCCAAGAAGTAACAAATACTGTGAGACAGGATATGCCTGATTTTTTTGTAATGTTATATAGTTGAAAACAGGCTTTCCTTAAAGTTTATTTTATGTGGGAGTTAAAAAACGTATCCTGATCAATGATGACTCCAGCTAGACATTAGATAATGTGTTTCTGAGGTGTTATTATAATCCTTAGTAAAAGACAGGCAAGACATCAGATAGCTGTTTTCTTAAAGGCAAATATGAAAAAAGTATCTACTGTATGAAACCAAGTAGCTTCTTGTTCGT